CGAATTTAAATATATTTGGTTGGAATTGAATGACTTCGACCTTGAAAGTCCTTCATCGCTGGGTCCATATGGTGTCGAAGAAGCTGTATCCTGAATGTCAGCATGTAAATGAATAAGTATTGGAAGATATATTCTCCTTATAAAGCAACCTAGCGCAATATTGTCGAAAGCGACTCCTCATACGATTTGAAATGATGTGATACGAGTAAATCAAGCAAAAGAAGCGATCCGAATACTTGTTTGCACCGAGGAGACAGAGGCAAACGCAAATTTTGTAATGTAAACTGGCGTGTGAGTCGACGGCAGGGTGTGATTCGATCACAAAACAGGCTGGACACAACCTAGTGTTAGCATTGTTACCTACCAGGAGCCCACAGCGATGCGACGCAGTTATCTTTGCCAAGTGAAACTCATGGAGGCGGAGTTGATGCCTAGTGCTCGATGGGGCAAGTGCCTGACGATCCCTAGACAATGTCTACGCCCTCGCCTGGAATCGCCGGTGCAGAAGACTCCTGTCACATATCACTTTCTATTCTCGAGCGCATTCAAGTTCTGTAGAAAAAAGGCTGCAATGAGTTTGACTGCCACTGACTATCGCAAGACTAGAAATTCCAGTCACTGAAGATCCCCTGGTAGTCTGGACTCAGATCCACTCCTTCTTCAATGCCCGACAGAATCCAGAAGCTCGAGTGGGGGACACGGCTTTTGCTTTTTCTGCTCTTTGATAAGGGCCAGGGCGAATCACAGACTGCAGCAGCCCACGGGGTGGGACTCGCAGTTTCTTCACACCGATCCCCTGGCGATACCAAGGCGATACCAGGGCGATCACGGGCCGATCATGAGCCGATCATGGGCCGATATTTTCCTTACATGTAACTATCGATTTGACCTGCGATAGATCCGATGTCTTCGGTTCATTTTCGGCTTCATACATCAATCTCCTGGAACTGTCACAGATTGGCCGTACGCCGGGCGATCGTCCCGAACGCGCGGTCCCCAACTATCCCTTTCTTAACGCGTTATCAGGGGCCGTATGCGCTATCTAGAGGCTGTCATAACTGACCGGCAATGGCGTGCTCTTGGCTCTTGGATGACGACGCCCAGATCATTCGAGGGTCTTGGCAACTGGGTCAAGTGGGAATCGTCAGCCTTGGCCGATCCAGGGTGATTAGAAGAGGACCAGGATCTCGAGACGCTTCTACGAGAATCCGGGCACTTATTGGCCAGCTTGAGCATTGATGGAGGGGAATTCAATGCTGGTACGGTGACTCTGCATAAGCTTTAAGATTCATGCGTAGTCACTGGCTGTACGTCTAGCCCTCCCTCCACTTTCCAGGACAAGATGAAGAGCTAATGCAATGTAGTGTCCGGTAACTTGCTGACCTATAACCCGTCTTGTCATCTGCAGTCAACCCTGCACATCATAGCCCAGGCTTGCAGCATTATTGTGACATGGCGACCGCGTGTCGAGGCTCTTGGCAATGATCATTCCTGACCCCATGGCCTGCATCAAGTGGCACTATCTACGGCCATGTTGATCTCTGCGTGTAAGGAATGTATTGGTGACGCCCACTCTCCTTGGTTTGGTCGCCCCCTTCGGACAGTGTGACAGGGTAGGCCAGCACTGGATGCAAATTTCTGGGAGGTGATGCAATCCTGCAGTCGAGGGAGTCCCAGGGCTTGATACGTCCTTTTATCCGAATTTTATATACTTAATGTCTTTCCTACGTGCCCCTTTCTTTCCTGATTTTAGTTTGTCCTACACTTGACCTATTTGCCACCACGATGCCGATGTTTCAAGGGTCTCCTCTCCCAAACAAAACACCAGCGATGGAATTAACTGATCTTGTACCTTGGAGGTCTTCCTCTTCCAATTTCGACGATATCGAAAGGCAGACTCCCGACACTATTTCCTTCACCAAAAGCCCCAAAGTCTCCAGCATCAAATGCAACGCCTTTGACCGAGATTTACCCTCCAGATATGCCCTCGGCGACTACTTCCTTTCCGAAATTGACACCTCATGGAGCGACCTCCCTCTGATATGCTGTGGATACGTGAGCGGCTTGATTGACGCACTGTCGTACAACGCGTGGGGAAATTTCTCGAACATGCACACAGGTAGGGACCAAAGCATGTATTTTCTGAAGAGTGAGCTCTAACCATGTTCGAATGCACGTCAACAGGTAACACTATTTTCATCGCGTTAGGAGTGTCCGGGAAGCCCGACAGCCAACCCATGCTGTGGCTTAAGGCCCTCGTTGCTGTTGCAGTGTTCCTAGTCGGCAACGTCTTTTTCGTCTACGGCTCGCGATACCTGGGTACTCTCCGGCGCTTCACCTTGATAGTGTCTTTTGCCATTCAGACAGCCCTCCTCCTCGGGGCCGCCCTTCTTGTTGAGAAACGGGTCGTTAGCCCCACTCTGGACCGTCAAATTCCAATTGACTGGCTCCAGGTTCTCACAATCTCGTTGATCGCATTTCAGGCTGCGGGTCAAATTGTCACCTCACGATTCCTGGCCTTCTCAGAAATCCCCACAGTTGTCCTAACGGTCATGGTCTGCGACTTGTTTGTTGACACCGAGCTATACCGGCGTCCCTGGAGCTCGAATCCCAAACGAAATCGAAGACTGGGTGCCTTGCTTTCACATTTTCTGGGTGCCATGACTGCTGGTGGAATGACGAAGGAGACCGGGCTCGCAAGTGGTTTGTGGCTTGCCACGGCTCTCAAGGCTTGCATTACCCTAGGTTGGTTTGTGTGGAGGAGGAAAGGCCAGGATGGATCACATGTGTTAAGCAGCACCTAGTAATGCAAAGCCCGTTTCAACCCTCGATTCACCTCAGCGCCCGCTTCTCCTATAAAGGAATGTTGATGTTTTTGCTCTGGTAACAGTATATGACGAACTATAGATCAAAAGAGAGTCGGTATGCACATGGTGGGCGTAAAATTGGCAAATTGATACCATCTAATCAGCCAGCTCCTGTAGTGCAAGACTCTCCTCGTTTGTGATAGATAGTTGGGAGTGTCACGATCTGGGGTCACATGCATGATCACATGCCAGATTGTTTGCTGTTTGCTTTCTCTGTTTGCCTAGAAGGTCGGGGTTTGCATTGTTTGCATTGGTCGTTGGTACAGAACCTCTCTCAGAGCTGAGCCAGATCTTGCTTTCTCTCTTTCCCCGTCTTTCATTGTTGAAGACCTGGCTCATTACAGGGATCTTGCTCACTTCAAAATGGCCTCGATTACCATATTGCGTATCTGCCCTACCAAATGCTCTAAGCCCCCCAGAAAGTTGTGACTCCTCCAGAACATCGGCGGGGCACAGGGCCTCGCTTCTGTAGGTTATTATCTCTATACCCACGAAGTGGTCTATAAGGTGCTTGGACGCCTCAGCATTCATCTCCTCGACGAGCGAAAACAAGAACCTGATCACGTTGGCGGGACACGGTCGCATAATCCCGACGTCGGACACGTCTACGTGCTTCAGAGGCTCAACTTGATGGATATACAGGTGGTCGGTGAACGGCTTCATGTACGAGAAGGTGATGCTCTTTCTGAGACTGGAACTAATTAGCCTTCTGGTCCACCCTATTTTCTCTTCCAGTGTATTACGATGTAGGACGGTCGTTACGTTATTGAAATTCTCAGTACGTCCAATTGCCCTAAATCACTGATCTGCTGATATACCTTTTTCAAGACGAAGTCCTTTAGCGTGGGTTGGCAATTTTCATAGCATATCCTACCGTATATGTCCGCTTTAGACTCGCTCGTTTACATTGTTGTGAGTCGCTCCATGGATTTGGTGACGGGTCCCTATCATTGGAGATATTAGAAGAAATCTCTGACTGCCAGAACATCTGCATATGGCTATCGTTTTTCCATATCCATGGATAACTCACAACCATGTAAACCAGCGAGTCTGAAGCGGACATATACGGTAGGGTCTGCTGTGAAAATTTATGCACTTAGGAGAGGTGTAGTGCCTTCGTGCAGCTTGGAGCAGATCTCCGGTCTATGGAGATGTGTAGTGCCTCCATGCAGTTTCGAGCGGATGCCCCTTTGGGCCAGATGTTTCGGCTAGATGTTTCTAGTCTGGCGGTGTGCCTCTTGTCTCTTTCTCCCATAAAGCTACCTAGACGCAGCTTCATGGCAGTAGTTAGAGATCATCATCAGCTTCTATTCATATTGATTTATACTATTGATCATCTCTTCTCCTTATAGATCTGTAGGACCGTATCCATCAAAAATTGCCAACCCATGCTAGAAAACAAACCACAGTAGGGTTCTAAAAAGCTCTACGGAGTATCCGAAAGTGACTTCTTTTAAGCCGCAAGCCGTAGTCCGATTTCTTAACTCCGTTATGCTAGACCGTCGGGCCCCAATACGACCAGCGTCGCGTCAATGGGCTGTGCATAGTTAATCATGAGGTATTTGGGGCAACAATCCTCTCTGTTGACTCTAGTCTGCCTCTATCTACTCCGTACCTGAGCTACATATTGTGACCGGGGTAATCCGGTATGCAAAGACCTATGCCGAAAAGGCCCTTGAGTTGAAACCCAAGCTATGGGATCTTATACCAAAATGCCCACAAATTCCACCTCACCCTGCCAATGTCAATGCCATCAACTCACAAGGTGCTGGGAAGCCCAGCTGATCGGTTGCCTTTGTGGCCTGGCTGCGCTGGTTCTTGTTCTTCTGTTCCTGTTTTGGTTTGTCCGGTATGTAAATCTGCTCTATTCTCTCTCCGTGCGTCTGTCGACAATGTTCATACACTGCAATAGTTTCTGGGAGCAGAATCTGAAACTATATCTTAGAGGCTTTGGGCGTTAATCGGTGCGGACCCTTCGCTTCGGAATGCCAACTCTATTACTATTATAAGACTTATATATAACTATATTAATTTCTAGAGAGAGCTTGATAGTGTATTATCTTTGACTATAATAACATTATATAGATTACTCTAGAGTATAAATCTGTTTATATATAGATATTGTACAACGTACTAGCGAATACGGTCTCTGCCATGTCCTTGCTCCCAAGTAACACTGATATCCACCGTCTTTGCAATTCCATCCCGCTCTACCTCCCGCCCATCCTCGCTGTTGGCATTTACAGAAGCCCTAGTAGTCCCCATCTCAATGTCCTCACCACGTACACCCGAGAAGAAATTCTGCCTACTCCCAGAGGCCTCACGATTCGTCATGCGTTGGTGGCTTGTCGTTCTCTTCCTGTACGATGAGGTGATAGGAAAATTGCTAGACTTGTCGCTTGCGAACAACTGGCGCACGGAAGAAACAACAAGCGAACGAAGGCAGGGAACGGATGCGGCGATAATAACAAGATAGCATTCGATCATAGCCCAACAGGTAAGATCTATTGCATTGGCTGTACCATCCCAGGTTAAGATCTGTTTGAGGTATACAGCCTTCATTATGGCACCGATTGTTGCGCTATACAGGGGGTAAAGACGTCCTTATTAGTAAGTCGGGCTAGATAAGGGTGTCATTGTAACTATATGAAGGAAGGTACTTACAGGAGACCCATACTTGTGAGTATCATGAGGCTGAACTTGATGATCGGCTTTAACTTAAGATCCCAGAAAATATAGCACGGAAGGACTGCTAGCAGCAAGTCTGCGGAGGAGTTGCAGACTATGGATCATTTGATATTGTTAGTCAAGGATCCAGGATTTTGTGTTTTGCCTGGCTGCGACTGAGCCTTTGGCATTGAATGGACATACAGCAGAGGAAGTAACCAAAACGTAGCTGAATATAGTCTTCCATGCAATGCGTGGCGTATTCGGGATCCCAAACCCCACGGATATCGCGGCATTGAGCTAATATAAAGACAATCATTACAAGATTTGCCATTATTTGCACCGCGAACAGCACCCATAGGCTGATCTTGAAGACTCTCCTCGTCGAAAGAACTGGCAACAGGTAGAGGATGAATGCGACCCGGCCTAGGCAGGTGCTTGCGACGCTGCAAACCTCCGTTATGGTATAGTACTTGAGAGCGGTGGCCTCGTCGACCCCAGGACGACCGGATGCGAAGCCGTAGTCAAGAACTGCGACTGTGAAGTGTATCGATGCGGCGAGGGCGAAACCCTGCAATAAACATCTCGTGGGTTAGAATAGATAGGGACTCATATCATTATTTCCCCCCAATTATTGGCATGAACTTACCAGAGATGCAATCATTGTAAGATCATCTGGTCCGATATGGCGAAGCCTGGCTTTTGCAAATATCCGGAGCATCACCAAGACGATCGCGACGGCCCCAAGAGCCCATGTGCCCTCCAAGACTGACTTCCGATCACCAGTGAGAGCAGCCATCATGCGGGGGTGATATATCAGTAATCGTTACATCCCCCTAAAAGCAATGAGATCTGATAGCCGTGAAGTTGACACGTTATAGGTCGCAAAGCAAAGAAAATCCTACAAAGATCTGAGCTACGAACTCATTATGAAGTTTTCTGAGTGTCGATCCAAGAATCAACCAACTAGGCTTTTAACAATTTAGAACGGACACACTAGCTTTCCCTAACTGTTGCACGAGCGTTTCATTTTATTCCATGGTCCACGAATGGAATCACGGCTTGAAGCGGAGCTTATACTTTAACATACTTTACCTTCGGGCCCGCTTTTATCTGAGACATGGACTCAGAATATCTGACTCGTGTTGAGCTTCAAAGGGGTTATTAGTGTGTGTCTCAGCGAGTAGATATCAGCATGGCAGAGTCGTGTATTGCCTAGCCGGGAGGTTGTAGGTCTCTGTGATATGTGTGATATGTTATGAGCCAGGTCTTTATGAGCCAGGTCTTTAAAGAAGAGTACTCAATTCAAAATACTAAAGATGGGGGGGAGAGAGAGAGAGAGAGAGCAAGATCTGGAATCAACCATGAGAGCTGACACACGAGATCTATGCAAACAATGCAAACCACCGACATCCTCGCTAAACAATGCAAACTAACAAACGATCCGGCATGTGACCTGGCATGTGATCACTAGATCGTGACATGATAGGGTTCTAGAATATGCCGAATATAGCGGTATTTCTCAATTGAACAGGAATCCTTCGGGGTTCAATTCGAAGTACCGAGTAGTCAGTGCATACGGAGTAGTGTTCTAGTTTTTCTTTTTCTCTTGTGGGGTTATTGATCTTCGCAATTGTATCCCGCCTCGTATTCGTAGTTGCTATCCCGTTCCTGGTCGATTCCATGGGGAACTTTATTTTGAATATTAATCGTGCCAAGCGCCCAACACCCCCCTACCCTGTGTTGGTAGGTGTTCTGGGCGCTTGGCACGATTATCATCGCTTGTCGATGCCTTATCCGAACACACGTGGCGGAGATTGTTCCCTGTTAAGGAAGTTAATTAGGGTTCGGTAGCATATGACCTTTAGAGCTAGCCCTGGAGTGCGGGTTTTTAGCTGCTGGAAAAATTTTAAGGAATTCGGAAAACCGAAGCAGCCTCACGAATTCTTGGCGCTCAGCTATGGTACGGTCATGTTGCATGAGTATTTGCACCCCAGTTCTTCGGAGGGCTTAGGCCCCACTTCTTTTCTACCAGTTAAAACTTCTCATTTTCTAACTAGCTAGTAACTAGTATGCCAACCTTCGTATTTAATAACCTCTTCCACCCGGTGCGGCATAGTCTCTGCTAAATTTATAAAGTGGCGTACTGTGAGATTCTCCCATGCATACTGCGCTGCATCTACTAACTCGGCCCAGGTCTCCTGGTTATTAGGCATCTCTCGTAACCAAGGCTTTAGCCTTAAGATATCTGCCTTTAATAACGCCCAGAGATTCTCAATTGGGTTTAAATCAGGCGAATAAGGAGGCCAATCCATGACATTTACACCCATCTCGCGTAGTAGTTCTTGAACTATATACGCAGTGTGTGTAGGTGCGTTATCATGTTGGAAGATAGCATCTTCATTTGCAAGTAAGGTAGGAAGAATACCACGGTAGAGATTGTAAATAACCTCTTTTGTGATACCCTTCCGCTCTGCATTTGGATCTCCGTATAGAGGAATAAGGCCAGTTTTTCGTGGAGCACCTGAGAAACAGGCCCAAAACATCTGTTTTGACTACTTCCCTTTCGAGAGTGTCATTTGAACCCCGTAATTCCGATTCTGAAGCTGATCTCTAGGAGAAATAAAAGCCCATTCCTTCCGAGCACCTTGTCCACGTTCAACTGTAGTCTCGTCCGACCAAAAGACCCTTTTCCAATCCTCAGGTGTAAAGTGACGATAGGTAAGGGCCCAATTAAGACGTTTCGCGGCGTGAATAGGCGTGAGATAGGGTCGATCCATCTTCCGCCATTTCCGAAGGCCCATTTCATGGGTTAAACGCCAGATCGAGTGCGTTTTAACCTTATAATCGACCTCAGCAAGCAGGTCCTCACGCGTAATATCCGGACGGGACTGAATAGCATCATACACACGATCTCGGTCCTCTTCAGTAAGTTTCCGAGAGGGGCCAGGGCGAGGTATTAAAATACCGTGAGCGCGATTTGCTTCCTGGCGTAAGGTATAATGAATGGTTGAGAGAGGAATATGAGGGTATGCATGCTTTTGAATGCGTTTAGCACCCCATTTTGCTGAGCGCTTTAGCTCACATATACGCTCACGAACGTACGGTGGAAGCTCCGGGCCGCGGGCCATAGTAGTATAGAGTATAGGGAAAGAAGTAGACAGGTAAAAAATAGGGGGAAAAGGGGGTAGTAACCTTTATAATACTAGTATACTACGCGCTGCGCGCGCGCCCGCGGTTTATACTAGTAGGAATAGGCAGGCGGTACGAAAGAGCGGCCAATGGTGGAGGTACTGGCGTGCAAATACTCATGCAACGCCACTGTACACGGGGTGCAGGTCTGGAGTAGCGAGGAATGGCCGAAGAATCACCTTTGACTGGGTCGAGGGTGTTGAGATCTTACCATTAGGGTTGTTTATCCCTACGGTTCAGCGACTCGCACGAGATTCCTTTATATTGATCACAATTTTATAACTTTGTCCACTAAGAATTCTTCATATCAGCTTGGTACCTTGGATTCTATATATATTCCTAATCTCTTCGGGGTTTATCTTCGCATTTGGTGCTCCTTGCTAACTGCGGCACTTGTATAAGATAGGCAACCCTTTCTGTACCTATGTACACTAGTTTTTGATATCCTCGATTCTAGATTGGCGAAGATCTGATTATCTCTGGTTTGGTTGGGATGAAGGAGGTTTTCAGTTCCCTTGACCTCTTGATTTTTGTAATTTTTCCATGGAGGAATTAAGACATTCATTTTCACGATATGAATTTCAAATACAGGACTTGAAAACAACCGCGGCCGCGTATTATAGGTGGATGGCACTAGACAAGGGGATTGCTAATTTGACCCCCCTCAGCCTATTCTGACCCCCATGGGATAGTAAGAAAACTACTAAATCCTAGGGCCCTGGGGCACTCGAGGAGGACTTCAGGTTCTGATCAACACATTTTCTACTCCCCTTTGCTCCCAAAAGGATCCTGAGCCTTCTTTTAGTAACACACCCCTGAACACGAGTCAGCCCACTATTCCTTTCATTTTGGCGCGAGCTTCCAGGCTCCGTGGCCGAACCGGGTCTCATATAATCCGTTCTATTTCTATGAAGAAGCCATCATTATGCGTCCCTCCGCTTTTGCTTTTTTATGCTCCTTTGCTCCCTTGTACGCAGGTTAGCTAGACATGGTGCGACAAATAGAGTCTTATTATAGACTCCTTTAGCTGTCATCAGAGAGACCAATATCCATAGGATCAGGACGCATAGCGAAAATACCTTGATTAGTTAGCAAGAGCAACGGAAGCCAAAAACAGGAAACATACTGTTCCAAGGACGAGAAAGAATTTCGACGGCATTTCTCGGCCTAGCTGACAAGTACATGTCGCATAAACGCCCAAGGGGAAAGTGAATGCCCACCATCCTAGGCTGAAAGGAAATCTGCGAGATTTCAGGACCGAGGCCGTTGCGAAGAATAGCCATACGAGGCCAAAGGCCCATAGAAGTATGCCTAGAAGAAATCCAGCGTAATAGAATGCATTCCCGGATTCCGGTCCCAATGCATGTGTCTGTGGAAAGACCTTCTGTGCAACACTTCCAAGTTTCAAGATACTGTATGACCTTAGTAAAACCTTCAACTATGAATTCTATGATGAAATGGGAAGATTGCCAGCTAACTTACCCAAAGCCTCCTTGGCCAAGAGGCCCAAGAGGTAGAAACGTGCTCACAATAACGGCTTTGGGTGGAAGCTTATGGAGCATGAGCCGCATCAAATAGATCACCATGACCATGAGTGCAAGTGGTACACCGATTCCCCACAGAACAAAGCTGGCTATAAGGGTTCCCAGTGCGTACTGCGGGTGGGGAAGCACGTCAGCCACTATTGCCCCCGATGCTGCTGCGACGACACATGCTACGATAGGTAGCAACCACGGGGCACCCATTGACTGCAGTTCTACTTCGGACTTCCTCGACATCCTGTAGGCCCGCATCAGTAGTGATAAAGACATTGAGCTCGTCATCCTCGACAAAGAAAGGGTCTTACATGATGAATGGAACCCCGAAGCAGGTCAGAACGGATAGAATAGCATCCAGGATCCACATTCCCCAGGCGAAATAGCTAGCCCATGCCCCCCAAGCCGGAACGCAGACCAAACAAAACATGTTGATGATTGTCGCGAATCCCATCGGCAGTGTTCCCAGGAATAACGACTGGGCGGGGTGTGCGATCATGACCGCGAATATGTCCGGGTAGAGAGCATAGCGTACGATGGTCAGACCGAGAAAGACTGCGAAAAGCAGGACATTGAATGCAAACAATGTCACTGAGATCCAGTAAAGCCATTGTCCATTGTAAGGGAGAGTGTTGAGCAGGATAGAGACAATTCCCGTGCCCATGTTTGCCGAAAACCATCTAATGTAAACGATGATACATATCGTTAGGTTTCTGGAAAACGCAACGGTATCAGAAAACTCACGCCGGTGTGAAGTTCCGCACTATGAAACGCCAACCCATGTCATGCTTAGATAGAATTGGTTCTTGCAAAGGCTCCTTCACGGATTTCTGCTCTGGTTGTTCTGGCCATGTTATGTTCGGATCTCGATGAGTCTGATGAGGCTGACCATCCTGTACAAACATGGTATATGAAATTTCAAAAGACGACTTTTTCAGTAGAGAGGGAAGATGATGAAAAAAGAGGATGAGCTTACAGCTCGCTAGGTTGTTCAGCTGTGGTTCTTTTGTACCTGCTCTTTACCATAAACCATTGAAAGAACAAGAAAGATAAATAAAAATAATAAAAATAAACGGGTCTCGGCAAGTTTCTTTTTAGCCTCTAAAATGCATGGCAACATATCGCCCTATTCGAGGACTTAGTGTGTTGTTATCTCTAAGTCGGCGACATAGGGGAGACAGAGCCCGAATGAATGTCCGATGGTGGCCAATACATGACACATTCAAATCATTGCAAAAGTCCGAATTTATCCGTTTTCCCCCCTAAATGGCACAAAAAGGAAAAAGGATCTCGAGAATTAGAAACCAGCATAAACTCGAGTGCATCGAATACGTTAGCCCCACACTGTCCCCGACTCTGGCGCTGCTAGTACCGACTCATATCTTGATTCACACCTTTTATCTCATTCCGGGAATAATTTCTAATGACTCACTCTCTGCTATACGAATGACGATGGACTCAGTGCGGTGTATTTCTTTTTGCTTTCCTTTTCTGCAATTGAACCTCGAAAGCAAGCCAGTCATAGACGAAATATAGGTTCCAGCAATGTAGTAGAGACTATAACGTTACATTCTTATCCAAAGGTGCGTAGTAGCCCAGTAAAACTTTTGGGAGTAGAACGAGATTATGATTGTAGATAGAAGACATGAAAAGGATATTCAGATCAAGGAGGATACAATTCAAAGTCATATTCTATATCAGGTGATCGACAGCGACTTGATACCAAAGTTCGTGTTCGGGACCTCAACGACCTTTCCAAAAAATAAGCTGAATCTCGTTTGGAAGCGTAGTGCAATGATATGTTCTATCAAAATATGTGCTAGATTTGATCTATAATATCCAATTTGGATTTTAATAATGATCAAGCAACAGCCTCGGTGCACTGAGGCTGATGAGGTTTCTCAGATGCTGCATCCGCAGGAATCCGACAAACATGAGTCTTGAATGCCCTCGTCGGAAGCCGCTCTCGGAACATCTCATCAATTTGCTCCAAGGAGCGCTGCCGCAATTCTGGCACGAAAAACCACACAAATATCACAGATACAATCGAGAAAGCACCATAGATAAAAGCCACGCTACCTCCAATGGCTGCCTGTGTGTACGGATCAACGAAGACGATAACCAAGCCTGTCAGGTAAGCGGATAATCCACTTAACGCGACCATCTTTTCTCGGACCTGCGAAGCGGGCACCTCGGCTGTGATCACCCACGCCAACGGGCCCCAGGAGATCTGGAAGACGAAGAACCACAAAACGAACATGACAGTGGAAGCGATTTGAAGGGGATAGGTCATATTGCTCGAACCCTTTGCTGTCAGCCCTCCAATAATCAACATGCAGGCTCCAAGTAGGGTGGCAGACCACAACATCACGATACGTCGACCGAGTTTGTCGGTCAGCGCCATGCCCACTAAATTTGCCACAATACCGATAATATATACCACAACCGACATCAAAAGGACTTCTTTGAATCCGATCCGCTGTAGGAAGACAGCCTGATAGTTGGCGACGAATGAAATGCCTTGTGCTTGTTGAAGGATCTGAGTGCCAACTGCGATGAAAGTACGTCGCCGGTTGACTGGATCTTCAACACAGCTCACCCAAGTGGCTTTCGCGTTGCGCTCGCGCTGTTTGAGTAATTCCTGCTGAATCAGAGCCACTTCGCTCTCGGCAGGAAAGTCCGGTCCTCTAAGTCGACGAATCACGACCGTTGCGTCCTCCAATCGTCCCTGTGAGATCAACCAGTGCGGAGACTCGGGCAAGAAGGGCAAGCTGATCCAGCTTATGAAAGGAATGACCACCTGTGCGACGATAACAATCCGCCAGGACCAGTCACTCGAGATGTGCCGACAAAGATAGACAATCAACGTCGAGGCGAATCCTCCGATCATCAGGAAAGCGTTGTAAGCGCCAGACATGAGGCCACGGAGGCCCTGTGGCGCGCATTCTCCTTGGTAAGTCGGGATGACACTTGTGGCGATACCACAGCTAAAGAAGACCACGAGTTTGCCGATGATAAACTGGACGTAACTGCTTTTTGTAGTCGCTTCGATGATAATGCCGAAAATTGCAACGAAACTTTGGATCCATAAAGTCTTCTTCCTTCCCAGGCGCGTGGTCAACGGCGCTCCGCAGAAAAGACCCAAGATGATTCCAAGGTAGCCCAACCCCGTGCCCAGAGATTGTTGTTGGGATGTGAGCGCCCACTGTTTTGATACGTCATCAAATGACCCAAAGCGCCGTGTGAATTGAGCAGAAGTCATGATGCCAGACCACCAGCCTGAATCGAACCCAAAGCCAGTGGAGGAAATGGAGCCGAAAATGACGACGACCCAGATCAGCCAGGGTAGACCCTGGACTTCGCCTCTTGAGTTTGACATGGTTATTTGAGGCCGATGAGAAACGTGTCAGAGTAGAATTGGAGATGTGAGCGGGATATATTCGGAAAAACAGCACCAAATGACTGAGACAATCTCAAATGTTTTGGTCAGAATTCATGGGGAGGAGTGGACACGGGGCTTTTAAGAGATATTCTATCTCGGCCAAATGATATACACATAAGGGATATCGACACCAGCCATAAAGTTTAGACTCCCCAATACCGTAATCTTCTGCAAATGGTGGTTGGCCTCCATCAAATCTGGGTCAATATTCTATCTTATCTAATCTACCTTGTCCGATATTGGAATCCCTGGCTCAGCCTCTCGTTGTCCCCTCTTGAAAGGGCGTAGAGCGAAGGTGCAGCAAGAGATAGTCCTTTGGGCCCTCCTTGAGCGTAAGCAACAAGCCTCTCTGAAAGGCTAGATTGGCGTTTGCCACGAGCTACCCCGGTTGTTCCCCCACAGGTCTGCCTGATAGCGCTCGGACGGGGAGTCCTGCTATTGCCGAGAGCCGTGAAAGTAGATTGCCATCCAATCCCTCCAGAAGCTCGAGCCCTTGTTAAGCATGCGAGCTCATGCAGGACCCACCATGTCGCCGAGTGGCGCATGCCAAGTTCACTATTCGCTCAGATCCTGGCCGAAAGTCATGGAGAAAGCGGGGCCGGGCTGTATATCTTGGACGCAACCAAGGCTCGCGTTGACAAGAGATAAAAGAAGTGGACCCGCAAAGCCCGACAAGGTTGAGTTGATAACGCATTCAGATTATTTGATAACCGGCAAATTGTGCCGGTAGATTGTGGGGATCTCCAGATTGTGGTCCGTTCCACTTTGCCCTTGGCATTCGCATGAGCCATCGAACGAGTTGCGTGTTGGAATCGGGTATTCGAAAACTCCCATCACATTCCCAAGGAAGCTGGTCGATCATTCTTCCAACCACTGGCTCCCCGCCGAACCGGCGCAAGATCGTAATTACGTTCGTTAGACTCTGTTAGCATGGCATTCACTCTGACCTCAAAGATGAATTCAACGGGTCCTGTAGTGGGGTTGAACACGTGCTATGCAAGCACTTAGTCTGATGCGCTTAAATATAATTGACGGAATCGACTTACGACACTTTGGAAAACATACCGTGTTGGTTATAAATGATTGTGCGAGTTATAAACCTCTCAAAAATAGGTTTACCATGATCAAGTGCTTCTAGAAGGCAGTATCTGGATTATTGCCTAAGTCTCACTCAGGTCTTTGAGCTCGTGGTTTCCCTTTCACTCCCAGTCGTATCCAAGGATTCTCTGAATTTGTGTCGCCTGGTTACCTTCCAAGATGACCTCTGTACCCGACCTGCCGATGCACTTGCATAGAAGTCTCTGAATGTTTTAATGTCATAGTGACTGACCGAGATCAAAACAAGATCATAGTGTAAATGGATTCAATCGTTGCCAAACTGTAAGAGCGACAGACGTCATGATAATAGCGAGAGCTACAGGTAGACGAGCATATAGGCGAATGGAGAAAGAGGCCAGATTAAAATGAACGGAAACTAGTCAATTGATTGTTCTATACCCTCAGGCTTGATCTTCCCAAAATCAAAATATTGTTGGTTGCCTGAGGCCACCAATGGGTGACAGGACCAGGTAGCCAGTTCTCTCTCTCTCTCTCTCTCTCTCTGTGGGATTCGCTCGGAATGCGACACAGTCTTTTTCCATTCCTCCTTGCGTAGCCTTTCCATCAAATATTTCAATATTTTAAATCCATTGGTCCAGACTATACCCCATCCTGAGGCTGAAAGGGTGCTGTGGGCCTTCAGCGTCAATAATATACCCATATTCACACCGGTCGTAAGACACCTTGGGCTGCTTTTGGTAAAACACATCATATTTCTCATCCAAAGCTTCTTTCAAGTTGTTCACAGAATGGTCAGGATGTAGAGTGGTCCATGGTTTAATACACTCGAAGCCTTTACAAGACTTCAAAACCATGAGTGCGGCGTCGAGTCTAGGGATGACCTGGTTGAGCTTGCGTCCAAGGATTTCAACACTCTCGGCTGACGAGTTTGTCCAGAGATTGTTCACTTGGTGTGGGTCGTTCTGTTGCCATTAGTCAAAGTGGATCAGTTGGGCTGATGGGATACGCACCGAGAGATCGTAAAGCTCATGTTCGTTGTTACACCATACGGAATAGAACAGATTGTATTCATCTGCCAAGATGCGAACGGCTTTGTAGGTATTATTTGGTACGGTGGGTGTTCCTTTGCACCACGAATTAGCTTCTATCACTTTTCAAGACGGAGTCCCACTTGCTTAGAAACTTACCCAGGTTAGACAAGCCACCCTCGAACATAGCTTGTCCCCAATATTCAACAGCAACGTGTTCATGAACAGTTCCTGCATTACTCAGGAGTGGAAGGGGTGTTCCATCAAAATCAGACCTGAGGGAAATGCCAGCTAGGTCGAAGAAAGTTGGGGCCAAGTCGATGTGTGTAGTTACTGCGTACTCTTGATGCCCCTCGGGGATTCCAGGTCCACGGACAAAAAAGGGCACTCGAATATCCTCTTCAAAACCACACGTCTTTCCAGGCGGCAATCGATGTTGCGAAATATGGAAGCCGTTGTCAGAGGTGAAGATGATATATGTGTTGTCCATCTTGCCGGACTTTTTCAGGCGGGTGATCAGAGAGTCCACAAGCTCATCAACACCTTGCAAGGCGCGAAGGCGCTGACGATAGTAGTGATCATTGTAGTCAATGACACTTTGGTTTCGGTATGGGAGCTTACTAACCCAGCTCACGCCAGTGGGCTATAGCTTTGTGTCAATAATGCACAAACTTTGCGTGGAATGCAAGGATCAACCTACGTTGCGAGGGTTGAAGTTGGCCGTTCGGGGAACCTTTGCATTTGGGAACAGATGAGCGTGACGCTTCTCGGGGATTGGCTCATCCATCCATAAGGGGCCGCTGCCAGCTCCATATGTCCCGTTGAAGTTTGAATGAGGCGCGATCGGACTGACTGCCACAAAGAAGGGACGTTCGCCGGCAATGGCGTCATCCAAAAAGCCAAGTGCCTTTTCCCGGATAATCTCAGTCGTGTGTCGTCCGAGGTAGCTCTTAGGGGCCTCTTTGTTCCGCTGGTACGTTGCATTCATGTAATCGTAAGTGTACGGATCTAGGACGAAATCCGAACCATTGAAGCCAGCAGCATATGGACTATCATAGTTCTCCACAGAATGCGCATTCATAAGCTTTCCCGTGTAGTAGGTGTCATAACCAGCATTTTGCAACCACACAGGCAGATAGTTATCATTGAACCCTTGCTCAATAAACTTGGGATATCCCCCTATGATCTGTCAGTCATTATTTCTCTTAGTGACCAATTGAACAAAGCTCTCACCCCATGGAGGGTACACGTCTGTGACATTGGTGTTGTGAGCTTGACGGCCAGTCAACAGGCTGACTCGGGATGGACAACAGATTGCGGTGGTCACAAAATGGTTGTGGAATGTGGCGCCCTTTTCAGCAATATGTTTCAAAGTCAACGGAGTGTACGAAGTCGAGTCCAGCAGAAGATCCTGATCATCGGTCATAATGAAGAGAAAATTCGGAGGCTTCGATTTGACATCCTCCTGTCCCAGTGTGCTTGTTGGTGATTCGGCTTGTACGGCACCCGCAAGCGGGATGGTAGCCCCGATATGAAGAATAAGAGCAAGACCCGAGAGGAGCTTCATCTTGGGCAGTCGTTGGCACGGTCAGTTACTATACTTGAGCTTTGTTTTACTCGAAGGCGCGAGGGGGCTTTATGTATTGGACGGAATCTCTCGTATACCGTCAGTATAGTCATTTCAAATCCGAGTTCTCATCTTCATTTTGGTAATGCACTGTCGAAGGGGAGAGAGATACCAGAGCCGGACAAGGGAAAGTCTAATGTCCACAATAGACACAATTGCCCCTGTCTAATCTGCGTCCTAGGTGATTCAAGTGGATACGGTAAATCTTCGGGTCAACAATAAAATGGTTTAGCTTTTCTATCGACTCCGCCGTATCGCCGACACTGTGGGCAGACGTACAATGATTCCCGGCATTGGCCTCCACTAAAAGCATCGGCGATGATGATGGATGTCTTTCAAGCGGAATCACTTTATATCTTTCATGTGCGGCGCGGGGCTTCAGCCTGATAATTACAACTATCTTCGTTTTCCCAGGGTGTGTTCCATTTTGACTCCGCCATCAATTCTGCGATCATGGCAAACGAGTATCTCGCCCTCGGGACGTATAGTCGTCCTGTGAACACTACGTCTGCAGACGCCCAATGTTGGTTCGATCGAGGCCTCCGCTGGGCGTACGCATTTAACCACGATGAATCTGTCCGCTGTTTCACGAGGGCCATTGAGTTCGATCCTGAGTGCGCGATGGCCCACTGGGGAATCGCGTACGCCCGGGGGCCGAATTACAATAAAGCCTGGATTCGATTTGACAAGTCAGACCTGAAGGCTACTTGCCATGCAACAAAAGCCGCATTGGAAAAGGCGTGCGCACTCACTGCCGGGTCGAAATCCGCTGAGGCTGCCTTGATCACGGCGACAGTCTCGCGCTTCCCTCCAGGAGATTCCAAAGACTCATACGATGACGTGGATTTCAATGCCTTGAACCTTGCCTATGCAGACGCTATGCGTTATGTCTATCAGGAGTTCCCCGACGACGTTGATGTGATTGCTCTCTTCTCCGAAGCACTGATGTGTCTAAGTCCCCGTGCCTTCTGGGATATCGTCACTGGAGAGCCGATTGCGAGTGGGTCTGTCGAAGCCCGCACGGTTTTGGAAAAGGGGATGTCCTTTCCAACCTCTGAAAACTACCCACATTTGTTCCATCTATATATTCACCTGATGGAGATGTCCCCGTTCCCCTTGAAGGCGCTTCCAATGGCCGACAGTCTTCGACGTCTTGTTCCCGAGGCATCGCATCTCCTTCATATGGTGAGCCATATCGATTCTACATGCGGCGATTACCGCCGTGCTATTGATACAAATCGCGAAGCAATGGCAGCGGATGACAAATATTTCAATAATGGATCACGTCCATTTGGTATGTATACACTCTACCGAGCACATAACATATTTGCTCTCGCATACTCCGCTATGATATCTGGTCGCCAGAAAGACGCTATTGCAGCGGCGCAGCGTCTTTCGGAGCTTCTGACTCCAGAGCTGTTTGAGATGACCAGTCCACCCATGGCTGACTGGGCTGAAAGCTATGTGGGAACGATTGCACATGTTCTTGTACGGTTTGGACGATGGGAGGAAATCCTTCAGCTTGAGATCCCCACGCGTCAGGATCTATATTGCTCTACCACCGCAGTCATCTTTTACGCCCGCGGCATTGCGCTTTCAGTACTTGGACGGACAGATGAAGCAGTCACCCAGCAGCGATATTTTGAAATAGCCCGCTCGTCTGTTCCCACATCACGTCTGAACAGCCTTCCTGCTCGTCAAGTTGATGTTCTCAAGGTAGCCGCCGCTATGCTAGAAGGCGAAATTCAGTACCGGAAAGGGAACTTTGGTTTGGCATTTGCTAGTCTCCAAGAAGCGGTCAGCTGCGAGGATGCGATCCCGTACACAGAACCACCACCGTGGATGCAGCCCGCAAGACATGCCCTTGGTGCCCTTTTATTGGAGCAAAACCATGTCCAACAGGCAGAAGCTGTCTATCGGGATGACTTGGGCTTTGGAGACCTTCCTCGTCGCCGATGTCGTATTAACAATGTGTGGGGATTACAGGGCCTCCACGAGTGCTTAATGCGGAATGGCAAACATGAACAAGCCCAAATAATTCGCTTACAGCGTGATATTGCGATGGCTTCAGCTGATGTTCACATTGATGTATCTTGTCTTTGTCGTAAACGCGCATGGTCAGAAGGCGCAGCTTGTTGCTCCGAAAACTGAGAATCGACAGGAATCCAATTCAGTCTTCAAATTACCATCGTACCTTTCACAACTAGCCTCTATCTAGTCGTCTACTTTCATAATCTATAAGAAAACCAACCCATGCTCCACGTATTTTCCTTCACATTTCCCTCGTAAAATAACAGCATCTCGATTTCGTTCAGCCTGCCTGAAAGGTCATGGGAGTGTACTAATTCCCAGGCCTAGCCAACTGCAGCAGCATGTTATCGAGGTAATCACGGGAGGGAATAACACGCAGAATGCTCAGAGTTCGATGTACCTGCATGCGGCTAACCCAGACCAAGATTTCAGGTCACAGCACATCCAACAGGGAGTGAGGATGCATAAGCATTATTCTCTTGAAGAGAACAAGTGAAGCGGAAGGTTATGTTGTCATTTCGGGCACCCCAGCTCATGGGTTACTTTAGGAGATACCTGGTCGAAACAACATTCGATCGCGGGACAACATTTTTTCCTGATCAGCCCATACATTGTAACAAGACCAATTACATTGGCCAAATCATGGTCCCCAATGGAAGAATGTTTTATCTTTGTACAGGGTACACAATAAGGGCTGTCGCCGAAGATGTGGGTCACAAACGAAGCAGCGTCGGCGAATGGCCGCAGAGGGGAAAAATTTATGGAACAAATCAGAGAGATAGGATATACTTGAATAGTTAAAGCGACTTCTGAAATATGGGGATTGAAATGCAAGTCAAATCATTCCCTTCAGGTATCTCGACGGCAATCTCACTCGGAATCGTCGTCGATTATTGCTGTTCAAAGTTACTCGTTCGCCAATCCCTCCCCATCGTTGGAAGCAATTCGTTGCTATGACAGAAAAATACTACGATCTCGGTGAATATCAACTGCCTGTATCGACACTCGATCCCGAATGCCAACTTTGGTTTGATCGAGGTTATCATTGGGCACAGGGTTTCAATCATGAAGAAGCGGTCCGTTGCTTCAAAAAAGCCATTGAACATGACGGGAACTGTGCTATGGCGTATTGGGGCATCTGCTATGCTAAAGGACCAAACTACAACAAAGCTTGGGTTCGCTTCGACCACTCTGACTTGATTGCGACGATCCGTGAGGTACAGCACCTGCTACAACAAGCCCAGACGCTCGCTGCCCAAGCAACTCCGGTCGAACGTGCACTTATCACTGCTCTACAAGCTCGATTTCCTCGCTTGGAGGTCTCACCGGACAACATCGAGTCTCTGGATCTCGGGGCCTTGGACCGTGATTACGCGGATGCGATGCGCGCGGTACAGGGCGAATTCCCCAACGATATAGACATTGCCGCGCTATGTGCGGAGGCTTTGATGTGTATCAGTCCGCGACGTCTATGGAACCTCGAACTTGGAACGCCCAGCGGCCCCCACACTGTACAAGCCCGTGAGATTATTGAGCGCGCTATGACTCTTGATGCTGGAGATCAGCATCCTGCACTATGTCATCTTTATATCCACCTTATGGAGATGTCACCGTATCCAGAGATCGCTTTACCTGCGGCCGATCGGCTGCGCTCGGCAATGCCTGATGCATCTCACATGATACACATGCCCACACATATCGATATCGCATGCGGCGATTATCGTCGAGCGGTGGATTCCAATCACCAAGCAATGCTTGCTGATGATAAATACTTCTCTGAGACCACAAGCTCGAAGCTCTATACGGCGTACCGTGCCCACAATATCTACGTGAAGCTCTACAGCGCATTGATCTCTGGCCGCTTTAAAGAGGCAATCTCTGCAGCTCGTCGCTTACCTGGGATCCTGAACGATGAACTTCTTTCTATTTCCAGTCCTCCAATGGCAGATTGGACTGAAAGTTACCTGGGGGCGCTTGTCCACGTTTTAGTCCGTTTCGGTCGCTGGGACGATCTCCAAAACCTTCCACTGCCTGAAAACCAGACTCTATACTGTTCCACAACCGCCATGATTCACTATGGCCGTGGTATCGCATTTGCAGTACTGGCTCGCATTGGTGAGGCTGAGCTGGAGCAAGTTAAGTTTGAAGAAGCGAAAGCACGAGTGCCACAGTCACGCCTAAACAGTCTACCGGCGGTAGAAGTCGATGTGCTTCAGATCGCATCCGCTATGTTACAGGGTGAGATTGAGTATCGGAAGGGAAACTTCGAGTCTGCGTTTCGCAGTTTACGCCAGGCCACTGCTCTCGAAGATGGCCTTCCCTATGCAGACCCTCCACCCTGGATGCAGCCAACTCGCCATGCGCTCGGAGCATTGCTCCTCGAGCAAGACCGAGTTGAAGAGGCCGAGGTGGTCTATCGGGAGGATCTTGGTCTTGGGGGTAATCTTCCCAGGCGGCAAGCGAGATTGAATAACGTTTGGGGTCTTCATGGTCTTCACGAATGTCTCATCAAAAACGGTAAATTGGAAGAGGCACGCATGATTGGTGTCCAGAAGGAGCTTGCCTTAGCCTCCGCCGACGTGATAGTTGAAGCTTCGTGCTTTTGCCGCCTTTCGGCTGTTCTGGGAGACGCGAATGCCATCCCTGCGGGCTGTTGCACGGGCGAGAGCCCGAAATCTTGAGTGGCTACTCCCAAACGTTTCAATTTTCATGTTTATGTTTGTGTTCATGCTTGTGTTCATGTTCATGCTCGTGTTTGTGTTTGTGTTTGTGTTTGTGTTTGTGTTTGTGTTTGTGTTTGTGTTTGTGTTTGTGATTGTGATTCTTTTTCTTTTTTCAAATGAGCTCTTTTAGAGGTTGCCATATACAAATGTTGTAAGAGGAGACACGTTATGATTTTCTGTGAAACTTTGCCAACAAGCCTAACTTATTTGTGTAGATCGCTGACTATCTACGTGCCATTTCTTGGAGTCCTATTCTTAGATGCATGGGACAGTATCTAGCATGCATTGAAGCTCGTATATCGAATTCCTAACACTAAGTGAGCTTATGATTCATTTAGTGTAATAGAAACCTCTTGAGATAAGTGCGTTTAGAGTTTCAACTTCTCTCATATCTCGTGCTGATAGGGGTGCCGACAAGCCCTAAGCAAAAGCCGCGAATACTGTCACCTCTCGACCCCGCTTGAAAGATAGCACCTTGGCAAGCAACTGATACACCCTTTGATAGATGATTGGCCAAGATACCCAGGTCAGATGACAACTTGGGGAAAGAAAGAATCTCAACGATATTCTTTTGTTGTATGCTCATCGGTGACTTCCCCGACCAAGCGGATTTCTTTCACAGGACGTACCTTTAGAGGAATAGACTTGCGGCATAATATTACGCTATGGGCGCTTCCCCAAACGCAACAGCTGGTACGGCTCAAATTGCCTGTCTTAATTGCCGCCAGCGTCACCAGAAATGTGATGGCAACATTGCATCCTGTGAGCGATGCGCCAAGTCCAACCTCATCTGCCAATATATCCCATCTCGACGTGGCCTTAGGTTTCCTCCAGAAAGAGAACCCCAGTTCTTGCACGCGACTTCATTAGAACCCTCTACGCCTGCCGACTTGTGGTATCCACATGTCGATCTAAATATCCATCAACAGGCAAACATGGATATCGCTTCCCCAGATATTCTGGTCTCCGATGACTCCTTCGGGGTAGACAACTTCTTCCTGTCTTTTAGTTCGGGGGACACGCAACTTTGTGATGACTATCGCACTGAGACTTTCTCCATGCCCCATGACACGATGTCCATCGATCAACCTATCCTATCAAGACACGATGTGCCATCGCAGGGTGATTTCGATACCCCCCTCATAGAATCTTATTACATGTACTTCCATCCAAGTCACCCGCTACTACCCCCGCTAAAGTCTCTTCTGCGGTTGAGGCCCCCACACTATCTCTTGCGAACAATGGAATTCACCGCTCTACACTATGTCTCCCGCGCCAGTACAGATCTCACCCGTCGAGAGATTGTCCCCCTAGTGTACAACGCGGACGATGCCGTCGAAAAGGTTCAGGCCCTGATCATACTGTCTATTGTTCTTCACTCGCGTGACGAGCCCAAAGAAGCTCGGTATTGCCTCGCCCAAGCCATCCAACTTGCCTTCAAGTTGAACATGCATCACAAACACTTTGCAGAGGAAAGCGCCCTCGGTGATCTAGTTCGTGAGGAGAGCTCGCGTCGCACCTGGTGGGAGCTGTTCATCGTAGACGTCACTCAAGCTGCTCTTCAGTTCGGAAGCACTCTGATCATCAATCTCGACCGGCTGGAACCTTTTCTCCCTTGCGAAGAAGAGAGCTTTTGCGACGAACTCTCGGTCTTGGAGAGTCTCACTCTCAAAGACCTGGAAGATCGTGCCTTTTCAAAACGAGTGGTCAATGTCTCCTCATATGCGTATCGCATTGAAGCATGCATACTTCTTCGAGATGTGCTCGGCCTTACAAGGGCAGCCAACTCTTGTCCACAAACCTACAAAGTTCTCGATGCCAAGATAACAGGCTGGTTTTATCACTTGTCAGGATCACACCGGGGACCTATCAGCTCCGATGGGAAGTCCAATGAAATGATAATACAAGCCATCATGCTTGTTCACTGCGCTTCAATCTTCCTTTCTCTTCCCCGGTCCCCTGTCTTTCCGTCCTCAAGGATCATGGAGACATTGATATGTGGCGGCAGCCTCGGAAAAAATGACATCCGCCTACCCTTCTCTCATTTACACACTGCCAAAGCTGCGAAAGCTGCGATTGGAATCTCAGAATTGTCGTGTTTGCCAGTTCCGGCTTCTAGCCATACCCCTTTCTACACTTGTTTTCTCGTCTTGAGCTCCGTAACCCAGCTTGTTATCTGCCTCTCGGATCGGCAACATCTTCTTGAGAAGTATGTTCCGTTCCTCTCCATGAATATTGGTGTCTTGAAATCATTGCGTTCTATATGGCCAATTGCCACTGGTTCCTCCGATCGGATTCAAAACTGTATCTGGGACTTTTTCAGGGGTGACAGTGAAGATCGGAGTACTCCAGATATTGCGTTACCCAGCTGAAGTTTTAATGAACTTGTTCGAGTAGGAAGATTGACTCTTTGATAACCTTGGAAGAACATGCTAGCGAATAATGAATCCACTGGTGAATAGCTCGACCTTTCCCGTTCTCTCCTGATCAAATTACAAGTGGGGTTGAAGATGCGGGGATATATTTTCGACCGCGAGAGACTAAATCGCTGTCAAATTGCGGGAACAGATTTAACTAAATAGAGCATTGTACGATGAAAATACTAATTTAAGGGAGCCTCTTTAGAAGGGAAAAAAAAGAAATTAATTTAAATTGGCAGATCAAGTATTCGTCAGCTCCTATTGAGCTTGAAAGATACTGCTCACACAGCAAGTCTAAACGACATTTATGCGGATACCTCCTCGGAAATGACGGTGCTAAATACATTTGCCAACTCACTCAATCTAACATGCACTAGAACATTAGCCGCATCGCCTGATCTCTACATAGTTATCGCAGATGCTAACCATTCGGGATATTAACAATCGACAAAGTTGCCCAAGGTGTCCCCGACCTTCAAAGCTTGGCAGATCCATTTTCCAAAAGTCTCCACACTATCGGCGACGGCTGTGTGGGTCCTGTCATCTACGGTAACTTTGGAAGTCAATCCCGCGGTTGTGTGACTAAATGCAGTAAGCCGATTATCCAGCCTTGCTGATAGATGATACACCGAGCGGGGTTTATCGGCTCTGCTATTCGCAACATTATCATTTCGGAGTCTATCTGTGGATATTGTAAATCTGGTTTATCGTTATTGTAGATAGCATCCCCGTGATGTTAGAGCAAAGATTCATGGGAGCCAGGATAAAAGCCGGCAGATTTTCCCCTCGAATGACTCTGCCAAATCATCATTCAATCGACCATTACCAAGTCTCTTGATCTACAACTACTATGACTGCCCCAGTTGAAAGAAAAGTCCGCGTCGCTGCGGTTCAGGCTGAGCCTGTCTGGAATGATTTGCAGGGTGGTGTTGAGAAGGTGATTTCTCTGCTGGGTGACGCTGGCAAAGAAGGCGCCAATGTTGTTGGCTTTCCGGAGGTCTTCATTCCCGGCTATCCGTGGTAAGCTTCGAATGTTCGATACTCTAAAAACTCAAGATGGTCGCTAAGGTGTGTTAGGAGTATGTTCACCACAAGTGCGCTCGACAACGGCCCCTTTATGGACGAGTACTTCCATAATTCGTTGGCTGTTGATTCGGACGAGATGCGACGTATCCAGGCTGCGGTCAAAGAAAATGGGACGTTTTGCGTTCTTGGATTCAGTGAACGCTACCGGGGCTCACTCTATATTTCCCAGGTCAGTGAGACCCAAGTTGTTGGATGCGTGATTAGTCAGGCATCCATGACACAGACCCTGTTTGCCTGTTTGCTCGTTTGCCTGTAGATGGCGAGACAGTTCTCTCTCTGTGTCTCTCTCTCCCCTCTCTCCCCCCGTCCGTCTTCTTTGTTAGGAACCGACCACACTGTTTCTCCATCAAGGATCCTCATTTTAGTGAAATTCCTAGACAAGTCCACGGGTGTCCTCTTTTGTTCGACAGAACTGACTGGTTGAAACGCTAATAGGTCTTCATCAATATTGATGGGCAGATTGTCCACCACCGTCGCAAGACTAAGCCGACCCATGTGGAGAGAGCATACTGGGGCACCGGCGAGGGCGACTCGTTGAAGACTGTTGTCGATTCGCCTTTCGGAAGAATTGGGGGACTCAACTGCTGGGAGCACACACAGCCACTCCTGAGGTACTATGAGTATCAACAGGACGTCGACATTCATGTTGCATCCTGGCCAGCCATCTGGGATAGGCCTGAATCCTTTGGATCCAAGATGCCGTATTGGATAACCAGCGATATGAATAGAAAGATGTCCCAGGCCATGGCATTCGAAGGTGCATGCTTTGTCCTTGTCTGCACCCAAGTGATGTCCGAGGAAAACTTCAACAAGAACAAGGTGCAAGACCTTGAATACGTCCAGGGTACTGGCGGAGGTTTCTCAGCTATCTTCGGCCCGGGAGGAGAGCCTATTGCCACCATGCCATCCGACAAAGAAGGAATCCTGTACGCAAATGTCGATGTCAATGACAAACTTCGAGCCAAGCAATGGCTTGATGTTGTTGGACACTACTCCAGACCCGATATGTTGAGTTTGCGTGTCAACACTCACCCCTCCAAGCCGGTATTCTTCGCAGAGGAGCCAGAAAAATAGACGAGGTGGAGATGTATGGTTGTTAGTCAGAGCATTATGCGGGGGTATTGATTGCATAAATTATGCATCATGGTGTTCCAAACAGATGTTCTTGTCAATACAAGTCAAATCACAGCAGGAAATAGGCTTTCTATCATCCCCAATAGATTTGGAGCAAATGAGATTATAGTAATTCACATTGTAAAGTAATTATCCTTCTTACTAACTCCTGTCAATGGGAGAGATCAGGAAAGAAGCGCAGTCAATCGATCAGTGGTATTGCAAGCTAACAGAGAACTGGAGGAGGAGAGAACAGATAAGTTCCCACGAGAAAGGTTCCTCGATTTCAAAGCAATTGCAGGGACTGCACTGAGAGAATTCCCTTTTGTTGGATGTTCTTTCAGATATTCTTTCTCCGGGTACCATAGCCACGAATATAATAAGTACCCTTACTACGCAATGCACAATATACGAAGGCAGTAAAATGTATAGACTCTACAGATGAGCGTTCTACAAATAACCGGACGAAGATGGCAATGTATTGTAGATGCCTAGCAGTGAGGGCTGGATGGCTCTGATAGGAGTGGCCGAGGAGCCTCTATGTTGTATATAGCGTAACGCCGGAGTTTTCCACTCCTTACATGCTAGATACCGTATTTAGCAGTGAAGTAACCCGTAAATTCAGCGAATTATGAAGCAAATTCGGGTAGGACATTTTCATGAGTCTTTCTCCTCACTGGAACGTCCAAAAATTTTGCTGCCACCTGGACTTCGGCTGTGAAGTCGTCAGAGGCTTCAATGGGCAGAAAAAGCAATTTGCCAAATGTATAGCATAGGCCGAATTAAACACTTCGAGCCTCTTTTCCAAATCTTTGCTTATATCCTCTTTTTGTTCCTTCGGAAGCTCGAAGCCTCGAAAGCCGATACAGCACTCGCACTCTGTAGTGCAATGGCCTCTACCCTTCTTGCTTTCAGATAGATTCCTCTGTTTGAGCATCCACATTTCCGGCCACAACATCCGCCTCGACCTGAACAATCCTGAACTATTTCTTCCCGCATGTACCATTTACTATCACGCCTTAAGCTATCATAAGCTTCTTTAAATTACAATGGAAGCATACTCCGCTCGGTAAAGGGGGTACTCCTTTTTTGGATATTGCGCTTGAGCCTCTTCGAGTTGCTGGTTTGCCTCTTCAAGTTGGGGTTGCATCAGACTCGACAGCCATGGCCTTTTGTAAGGCTTTAGCCCTATAGTGTAACATTCCTTCACGCTGGGTTAGTTCACGTAGAGCGTGTTCGGCAAGAGATAACTCGATGACTTCTTGCCGTTTGACGAAGTGTGTCCCTTATTGTACAAAGTCATAATCTTTGCTATAGAAGTGACACCTCGCAGGCCTACTCACAAATCCCATGATTCTATATGTGGAAAGCTTCCAAGGCTAATACGAGAATAAGGAGGGAAAGACTTCTTGGGAAGTACCTCTTTTATGGGAGAGACTGTAAAATATGAATTTTCAGCAGGATAAGTAGACATATTGAAGCATGAAAGAGGAATAATATGGCAAAGAGAGGAAAATATGTCCCCTCTGTCGTTTCATCACCAGGCCGCCTCCCAAAAGAGATTAGTCGACGTTTGCATATCATTTACGGAGTAATTGTGACGCAGTTAGACATAAGACCGTAAGGACTAAAAGAGACTATTCATACAGCTCTTCGTTCTGACTTGTATGGAACCAATCAGATATGCGTTTATATCTAAATGCGACATCTAGTACATCTGATAGACATCTTCCAGCCCATTCTACTCCGAGCCCAGCAGATCGGAAAGCTTATCCAAGTAAGCATGAGGCCTAACATCGCCAGAAACGAAATCCTCCTCGGAAGAAACACCGGTCAAAACACCCAGCGTACCACCCAGCTTCCCCTCGAGTCCAAAGCGAATATCCGTATTCGCACGATCACCAACCATGCAGGCCCGGCTACGATCGAACTTGAACTTGCCCTCAATGGAATCCATCATAGCCTGGCTGGGTTTTCCAAGTGCCACAGGCTCTTTATTCAGCATCATTATCAACGGCGCGCTCATGGAGCCAGCGCCAGGGAACAGAGTCCCTGAGTTTGGAAGGGTGGAGTCGATGTTCGTGGCGAGGAAAACCGCCCCACGCTTGATGTAGTGGTATGCCAACGCGATCTTGAGGTAGTTCATATGGAAGTCGAGACCGACGAGAACTACACCAACTTCGGGGTCCAGGATGGATTCATCGCCTGCCGCGATCTTCTTGTAGTCCGCTGGTGTGACGTCGCGGCGGTATGCAAGGTCTGTGCCGCCAATGAATGGGACGTTCTCGGAGCGGAGCTCTTGCTCGATGCCTGTCTCGCCAATGACGTAGACTTTGCGCTTGTTTTCCGGTAGTTGGAGGATGCGAGAGATGTATATAGACGAGCTGTATGAGGAGGAGAAGATCTCTTCCTATCTAGTTGTGAGTCACTGGGCACTGGGTGATCTGATACGGTATTCCGTGGTATCACTGACCACTGTACTGGGAATTCCCAAGCCTTCGAGCTTTTTGCGGTAGTCTGCGCGTGACTTGGTGCTATTATTCGTCACGAAGACCACTTGCTTTCCTGCGGGGGTTATCAACCTCCGCTTTTTGCCCACTCGATATTTAATACGCACCATTATTTCGGAGAAGCTCCAGTGTCTCCACTGTCCCTGGGAAGAGGTGGTCACCGGACCATAAAACACCTAAATTATCATAGTCTCAGCGATTGTTGCGACGCGACTGTGTCACTGCGGGGACCTCCGCGGAGGGACGGCCGAGATAGAGCGTGCACGGGGGTCAGACCATCACAGTCGAAGAGGAATACCTGTACATAATCCAGTCAGTAAATAGAAGCTCCCTAGTACACCATTGGGATCAAAAACGTGTGCTAACATCAAACTTGGCCAGGAACTCCTGGAGACCGGCCTTATCGCCGGTCAGGTAGCGGGGCGCGAATTGCGAGGATTCTTGCGTCATGGTACTCAGAGGATTAGGAACAGGTAGAGGAAAAGGTAGAGTACGGTAGAAACGAAGATCACGAAAGTAAAGGAACGAAGTCAGACTCCAAGCAGATCGGTGCAACAAGAGTCTTGTACAACCCGAAGCGAATCTCCGGTGAATCGCGGGGCTCTTTATCTTTCTTGGCATTCAACTATCAACTATCTACGACATACCACACTACATCTTTGTAGACATAAGAACAGACACCAAGAAGGAAATCCAGGAATCAAACTTCCATTCATGATACCAAATAAAAAACGAAAATACCAACAGGGCCACCATGGGTATAAGAATACCAAAAGGAGAAAGAAAAGAAGCATCGCCACAACAAAAACAAGACAAAAACAAAACAAGAACAATAATCTTTCCACAGATCCTCCTCTTGCTGGTGCCGTGGTCGAGGTGGTGGAAGACCGACCACCCCGACCACGGCACCACATGCTCACCCCCCCTTCCGACTTGCTTTTGCCTTTGGTATCAGGCATAAGGTCGGCCTCTCTGCCTTGGGCGTGGGCGTCGGTATTCTGGAGAAAGGGGCTAGGCACGGCACCATATCCTTCCCCCCTCTCCCCCTACGCCTTGCCCTTGCCTTTGATGTCAGGCAGACGGTATCCTCGTGGGGGCGCGACGAACACGAACTCCAAGGGAATGGAGTGGGCGGGTACTTCGGCTGTAATCCAGCCCGTAAGGATATCCTCTCACTAGTGCTGCTTTCAAACCAACGCACACATGAGGTGTGGTTGGGAGATAGGCGTTGGTCTGGACACCGATGCCAGCGGGAACTGGCGTAAACAGCTCAGACCGCATATTTTCGAGTGAAGACGTTCCTATAAGTTGTTTGGCGACAATAGTCTGCTCAGAGTTAGTTCTATATGGTGTAACTGATTGAAGGTCCACACTTATCACCGGTGGGGTAATCGGAGGATTTACAGAGGCCGTCGACACTCTTCGCCTTGGCGATCTGCGGTGCAAAGTAAACCACCATTCGGGGAGGGCCCCGTCGTCCAGGGCCAAACGCCATCGACAAATAAAGAAGACCCATCTTACAGTCGGAGAATCAGAGGCGGGGCCAACTGGAAATGATGTGGGAAGGACGTGGAAACGGGAAGAGAATTGCGGCTGGCGTCGTTATGCCAAAACCCACTGAACCCGGATTGTTATCGAAGAACCAGCTCTTCCAGATGTAGAAATTACGGGAGTGGTATAACGATTATGGGAAAAGCCGACCAGCCTTAACCCGGAAGGACTCCGTTTTCATGGCCCAGTTCCCACCAGAGTTCAAGTGGTGCCCCACGATGTCTTTTGAACAGTACCCTGGTTTGAGGCCCACACGGAACCCTCATCACTAGGTTGGTCCATTATTTGAGAAGATCGAGTTCGATGGTCGTAAGGGTTTAGCGTTGGGAGAGTCAAGATATCAGGGTTCGGAACCAACTGATTCTCGGCATCCCATCCCCGGTCCAGATCGTCAAATGGAAGCTGTTCGTCCATATTGAGGCTTCCCCCAAGAGTGGGGTAGTGGCTGGGTGACTCTCGATCGCGGTTTGATTTTGAAGAGGAGGATGACTCGGGTCATCAGTCTTTAGGATTGGGACTCAATGACACTCGTCAGTGCGGATAGTGTACTCATCCTTCTCGTAATATCCGATCAGGCTCACGTTCTTCATCCAGTGCTTTCCCAGCAGCAGAGAGTAAGTTGGAGTTTTGGGCCATCGACTACTACGGCTGCAATTACCCAAGTCGTATCCGTAACCACGACTGTAATCCACACCAGGTCATTCATCTTGACTGTACTGCCATCTGCCACTTCCATAGCAGCATCAGCAAGTGGGATGATTGGACAGTTCAACTTGGATACAATTCCCCTTGGAATCATGTTCCTGGTGGATCCACCGTCGATCAGGACTCGGATAATTTGCATTGGGTGGTAACATTGTGATCTTCTCCGCCTCCACTTTCAGCCACTTTAGGCGCGAGAAAGCGCGCACGATATGACCACCTGGGAGATCGGACATAAGAGATGGTGTTAAGACACTAGAGAGAGGCAATAAAATGCATGCCCTACGATCGAGAGACTAAAACCCAATCTACCAGCCCTAGGAGAAAGCCTCGTCGATCAGTTTTAATAATACAAATTGAAATACAGATATAAGTGTGGGCAATAGAAAGAAGAGGTGATGCATATTAACTAGGCAAAAAGTTGGTGTAAAAGAAAATTATAGAGTGAAGCATCTGTTAAAACGACAAAATACAACCGTTGTTTGGGAGTCCATCGAACGTGTATTGTCAACGACAATACTAGTACTACAGAATAAATAAGGATAGAATAATTAATACGTGCTAAGAGTTGTCAACGAGTGTCAAAAGGCCAATCAGTGCTAGTAAAAGCATAAAGGTCAACGGGCAAGAGAAGATTTACAGCCGGTGATTAAACAATTGATTATCGCAGAAATCTGATCACAAATCGTTAAAAAGAATAAACAAACCGATTAATTCATTTATCTTTTTAATCAACGGAGTGAAAGAAGGAAGGTGTTTATTAAGTATGATTGGCTAGGGAACACTCTCCACTCTAAATCAAGCGAATTTCCTATACCCAGCACCCCCCAAGTCTGTTGCAAGAATTATTTCATCCTACCTACCCAGAAAAAATCCTCTAGGCCCATAGTATGCCCACTTCTATACCAGATTCCCTAGGCATCAAATCCAAGCGATCCCTATACTTATTGGCGTACACCACTTATACCACTAGGTGTCTATATTTGTTTATTCTACCGATAGCGTAAAACGCATTATTAAGATACATATTTCGTCATTTCCCAAATAACCGTTACATTTTTGTCGTTCATCGACATCCTGCCTCTCTTCAAACAGTGTCTGAACCATATTTTTGCCCAGTTAATCAGCTCTTCTTTCTATTGCCCGCTCTTATTACCAGTGTTCTAAAATTTGTATTCCTAACCCAGTGGGTTATTTTACGTACAGGGGGCCGTATTGAAAGTTGGGATGATATAAATCCGGCAGCTTGAAAACAACCGGACCTTACCGCATTCATAAGGTCGTTAGGTTGTACCTTTCTCCATCCGCAGACTTACCCCCTGCCTCTCAACCACCGCAAGATCGCATCAACACCCCATCATGTCGCGAATTCGATTACCGAGGCAGCTATACCCCTGGCTTCCAGGCCATTTCCGTGACCTTTATCACTGGCTGAATTCCACGGAACCAACATGGGGCTACACAATCTACCTGACAACCTACACCCCGCAATCTCATGCCGCTTTCCCGCGTATGGTCGACCTTACCACGGCGTACATCAAGAATGGATTTTACGGGCAATACGAATCCCGCCTCCGCTATGACCCCAGGGCAGATGAGTTCAACAGAACTCCCTTCGATGAAATATGGGCTAAGTACAAGCCACGCGTCGTTGAAGATGCTTCCCAGTTCGACGGAGCATCGATAGATCAGGTCCGCGCGCATTTTAAAGCCTGGGCAACTGAGCGAGATATGCTCGATCGCTTTCCTAGTTACCGCATGTTTATTGTGATCGACGAGGAGAGTTTTCAGACTTTACAAAACGCTCCACTTCCAGAGGACCTGCCACAAAGATTAGAGGATATGCAGCGTCATTATGTGAAAGTCGTTGAGGCATTGGAGGAAGACCCCGAGCCGCCGTTTCCAGGGTGGATGAAGTGCTCCCTGTCCGGGATTTTCGACCTGTGGCCGAATATGCAGGAGGGGGCTTACCTGGAGGAAAGCTATTCGCTGAGACCCCGCGGCACAGATGTTTATTGAGTTTACCATGTCATCTGGGGCTCGAAGATTACTGTAACTAGACCCAAGATTGAATAGTTGTATAGTGTCGGTTTCGCGAATGATACCGTCCACTGCATCGAATCAATTAATGGCCCAAGGTATGATTGATGCAATATGTAGAATATTACAATCGTCATAATTGCCTCTACATCCTCTATAATAGTCTGTGTGATTTATTTATCATTTTCCTATATGTACCATTGAACCACCTGAAAGGACTTTTGCATGAGCCATAAATGTATATGAATTTATATGGTCACCCAGTCTTAATCTAGACCATCCAAGTCAATTTCCATCTCCGATGCAGCCGCCTTATACTCATCCAGAACCTCAAGAACAGGTGTGACATCCTGTCCTGTCCTCACTGCCCATATGCGTCTCATATCAGCTATCTGACCAATGGCCCAATTCCTATTGCTTGTCCCAATATACTGAAGTCGATTTCGGAACCACTGATCCCACCAATCCTGGGCATAGGCTGGATCGTTTCCATTGGAGATCCACTGCTGGTCGGATAGACCAAACTCCGTGCGCACTTCATTCGCAGTACTAATCATGTGAGGACGTGCTCGAGGATCATTGAGATAACTCATGACAGTGATGACAGATCTGATATTTTGTAGGGCTACCGTCGGATCATCATTATTTATGGCGTTGGTCATGGTACTGTCACGGTACGGGTCAATCGTACGCCACATCTGGAAGATGAATCAGTAAAAGAACTATAAATTGAAGCAAGAGACGGTATTTCAATGTCTTACCCGACTCTTTAACCCGTTCAGGGCTGCAATGAGAACAAGGAAGTGCTGGTCATTTGTTCTGCTTCCAAGAGCATTCATGACTCTTGTGAGCGGAGTTGATGATGCCGCGCCACCTATCATTGGAGGGGCATTGAGCAACATTGGAGTATTAAGCGCTTCGATATATGCACGAGGTAGAGCGGGGTTTCTGGGTTGTGCTCCGGATGGTAAAGTTCCTGCGTAAGCGTCGCGGAGAAACGTTTGAGGTGTATTGAGTTCGATGTAATGTTCCACTGCATTTGATTAGTCTGGTTATAACGACAAGATAATGAAGAAATGAGAGATGGAAAGAAATGTCAGAGGAAACAGCCATATTGGCCACAAAGGGAATATTACCATCATAGCGTGATCTGTCACTCGCACGAGTGATTATTTCAGTCCCAATACTCGTATCCAGACAGTCCCCATCGTTTCGATATCCAAATGCCTGGCTCCAAATACGGTGACCTATGGGCCACTCACCCCTGCTCCTATACTGTGATGTTTGTTGTTTAGTCTGGAATCATTTTCGAAAAAGGGTCTATCAACATACAGGCAAAGAAAGCCACTGGACCATACCCCCAGAACGGAATGGTACGTTGGAGGACCGGGCACCTGCTCTCTTATCCAAAGTCCGTTTTTCGAGGTTGTCTACCTCATCATCGTCATCTAGATCCTCTCCATCACATAGGGGGTCATCGTCTGAGGAACAGCAGGTTGACCGTGTGCAGGCGCAGTCGAGCACATCATCTTCGTCTCCAAGTTTGGTGTTGAATATGTCCATGTTGCAAACCATCAAAGTGGCATAATCGGCGGATCCCTGTTTCTTCCAGTCGGGATTCCTCTTCAGCCATGAGTGGAGATTGTTAATCGCGAAATTTGGGTAAGCAGTAACAACGTAGTTGTTCCAGATTTCCACGGACGCTGCGCCCATCGCATATGTGAAGGCGGCATCAAGCATCAGTTGGTGCATAGACTCATACGGCTTCGAGTCCCAACGACGATGTATAGACAACGAGTGGTTGAATCTCTCGGAGGAGAGGCCCACAAAATCAATGCCTTCCAAATCGCGCTTAAAATTGTAAGCATCAATGCCGCACTCTGGGTCCTTCATGAATTCTTTCACGTCGGATTCCAGTCGACTTTCAGAATCAGTGTAGGATCGCTTTTTCTTCGTGACATATACTGCGCTGCAGCACATCGCTTTACCACCGTCGCCTTTGCAGCCGTCTCTATTTTGATCCATAGCTATGCGGACTTTCATCATCAGGGCAGCCGCTGAAGCAGTAATCTTTAACAACACTGCCAGCAGATGCCATACCAATATCGTCTCTCCATTCGCAGTCTTCCCATTTGCTCTTGGTATCGTCATCACAGCAGTATTTCCGTGTCTCCCAGGAAGTAGTTTCTTGGCCGTTCCAGGTGTATTTGAAGGATCTCGGGTTGCACATGTTCCCACCACTACCCGTTGTTGAATTCAGTACATATACCATGTCACTCTTGCACTCGCCGCCGTCACAATCTGGCGCATGGCCAGCCCAGTCACATTAGGAATAAAGCTTCATACTGTCTGTATCTGTCGTACAACATGCTGCCTAATAGTCGTTGTCGTTGTTATTGCAATGTTGAAAATTAGATCCGACTTCCACGTACCCTGACGGGCATTGTGATTTATAGTGTCCATTGTTATACGTATACCAACCACACTTGGGCTGGTCAGAGTCGGGTGGATAGCAGAAGGTATGCTAGCCCTCGCCACCGCATCCCGTGTTATCCCACATTCTTTCACCGTTGCGAGCACCAGGGCTAGTGCGAGCAACACTCGTCCATCCACTAGGACAATTTTCAAAGCAATTGGTCCATCTACATTGGAGATGGGTCTTCTGGACTTCTATTGTATCTTTCTCCTTGTCAAAGGCCAGTGATGTTACTTTTCGACCGGTCTTTTCACCCAGAGAACTGGAAAAGTTACCATATGGAAGGTCATAAGAAACAGCCCAGACCATAACACCACCAAGACACTCGGACCTCGCAAAATCAGTTTTTATCTTGAGGGTGTCTTCGTCGTCATATATGAGCCACTAATTCGTGTTGAACTTGAGAATTTTGACGGCAGCGTCTTTGTCGAGTTTGGATGACAGTTTTTGCTCGTCCATTATATCCACGATTTCGGAGTTTATCAAAATGCCAACTTCATCACTGTAGGTTCTTAGATTACCGCCGGACACGAAGGGGCATCCGGGATCCATACAATCAGGGTCTGCAGCGGAGAAAACACAAGCGTAAAATGCCAATCCAAGAACCACCTTATCGGAGGGGACGTCATTACGCCAGATGAGATCCAGGGCATTGGTTATCTCGGTCAGATTGGTATAAGAGTTGAGAACAGGATCAAGCCACTCATTACCTATGTCCCATTTTCCGTGAAGGTCGTAGGACATAATGTTGAAAAAGTCGACATGTTTATGCAGATTTTCAAGATCGAAGTGTTGCAGATACTAATATAACGCAGGGAGGGTCATACTAACGCCATCACGGCTACCTGTCCCTTTGAGAGAGCTCTTAAGGTTGGATAGGAACTTCGGAAAGTTTTTAAAGTCCTCTTCACGTCCACCACGATCATCTGCAGCTGGATACTCCTAATCGAGATCAATGCCGTCAAAGTTATATTCAGTCATGAATGTTTTCAGGGAGGCAATGAACTTCTTCTGATTTGCCTCTGCACGCGCAATATCGGAGAAGGTCGTTCGAGTTGTACCGGGATCATTAAAAGTCCACCCTCCAATGGCAATAAAGACTTTGAGATCAGGGTCGGATTGTTTGAGATTGGTCAGTCTCTTCATGAGCTTTTTCTCATACTCGCTAGGAGCTAGGACCTCGAAGGTTTCGGGATCAATAGAGGCAAAGGTATAGTTGAGATGAGTGTAGACTCCAACCGGGATCTGGTTAGGATAGAAGACATTGCATAGGCGTTGAATGCTCCAGCCCTCGTAGTACCCAACGACTCGACTCAAGCTCTCTTTATCTGGGCATGAGGGACGCTCGACTGTCTTGTTGCCGCAAAAGTCCTTAGTGGTTCCACAGAAGCCGAATTTGGAGCAGCAGATATTCAACGGACATTTCTCAGACTCTGCATAATCGCCGTACTATCCCGGATCGCATTCAGACTTTCTGTCACAGTCTGAAACACAGTCATCTCCACAGACTAAAATGAAGTATTACATATTTAGGTTCCAAAATCGGTTAAGGATATAGCTTACAGTCGGGCCCTAAACCGCAGAATCCAAATTTGTTGCAACATCCCTGAGCGCAAGGTTTTGAGGCAGAGCACTCTAGTTCAAAATCACAGCTAGCGACACAGTCGTCGCCGCAGTAGTCGTCGGTTATTCCGTAGTAACCGAATTTGTTGCAGCAGCCAGTGGCACAAGGGGCGAGAGCACTACAGTCTTCCGCTTAAACATTTTGACACAACAATAAGAGAAAAGACAGGCCAAAAAGCCAAAGAAGGCTTCGATTGAAATTGAAGGCCCCTATTGTGCTCAACAAATCTTTTCTCGTAGGGTGCGATCTTTTTTTCTATTACTTCTCTACTAAAATCTCTTCTAAATTCCGGTATCTCGTACTCAATTACTACTAGGGCTAGTCAAGGCTCTGCTTTATATTAGCGTGAGGGATTAATTTCCCCATTTTGATCCGGTCCTTGATAGTTTGGACTATATACGGAGTAGTGTGGCACTTCTTAGCTGGGGTCTTGGCGGGGTCTCTTGGCATGCTTAGCGTATATCTTGCCGGCTGAACCGGAAACCGTAGCATATCGCGGCTAGTTGGAATCGTAATAGCTTGCTTAGACTCGGCCAAGGCAGGCAAGCCAATATTAGCCTTATGGCCAGCAAGGTTAAAGCTCAAGATGAAGACGTCTCCTGACAAGTGCTTGTCTCTACACTAGTACCTGTGTTTGGTAGCCGGGGGATAATGGTATTATCACACACTAGCTTCGACTAGCGCGGTACCCGGTATCTGGCCCTATAGAGGCTCATTTCGCTTTATAGTTAGAGCATGCAATAGCTTTAGTGAGAGGCTGAGACATAAACAACGCCAAGCCGGATAGCGTCCGACAGTTTCCAGAAAAGTATACTATACGATGCTTTGGTTGGCTCAACATATAGAGGACCCTAAGTGCAGGGTTTCTTAGCATTAAGAAGGATTTCCGGCGTTTGCCGTAGCGAAATTTGATAGAGGAAATGTCGGGTTGCATTAAAGAGTGTGGATGGAATTGGGTCGCAAGCTCCGGCCGAGGCGAGACGGATTTATGGTCAAGTATTCCCCTAGTCTTGAAAGCCTTTTATCTATGCCACAAGATTTGACTGAAGATGAGACTGAGCGGTAGATCACGGTTTGCCGATCAAGGCTTGTTACCGCTGATCGTGGCACTAGCCCTCACGATCTTCTGGGTCCTAGTGTGGGCCGATAATACTCATCTTTATCATAGTCATCTCCATCACAAGCGCGGCAATGCAAGTGCAACCGGTCATGGCGATGCATAGGAAATGGTACAAAATGCACTTGCAGTTTTAAAAGAAGTCAACAAAGATCGAACGGAGAATCCTAATTTCAACAAAGATACTTTTTCTAAATCCCGCGATAAGACAAGAGCGACCGCTAAGCCATTAGACTACAGCTCCAAAGCTGTGAAGACTGCCCGTCTTCAGACGAGAGATACTTCTTCGAACAAAACGAGTGGAAACAGTCCTTATATTATTCCACCTGAGCTGGCAAAGGCCGCTCGCATTGTTGCTGAATCTACCGTTAACAAACCGACAGGCGATCAGCCTCAGGTCGCAGCGGACATTCGAGAAAAATATAGCAAAGGTCGTAGACATTCCAATACCCCCGCACAGGCCCTAGTCAGATCAAATGGACTCTATAACTATAGTGCATTTAGTAGTGGTGGTGAAACTGGTGACATACATGACAACAAGACTATCCAAGCGAAAGTCAATAAACGCGATGAGACTTCTAAGTACTAGATGGCTATAGTAGACCAGACCGGTCAAAGTCCATTCGCGCCCAGTGGTTACAAGGTAAATTCTCCATTCAACATCATTCTTCCTTTCTACATTTCCACTTCGCTTCTCTCACTGATCATGTTGTGTCAACCTGGTCTTACCTGTATCCCTTCTCCCTTTACCTCTCTGGACCAAGAACCGCTACTAATTAGTATCCTCTAGGCTTGGAGAAATGTCAAGGACTACGGTGCTGTTGGCGACGGAGTCACAGATGACACAGAGGCCATCAACCTCGCTATCTCCGATGGAGGAAGATGTGGTCCTGACTGCGGCCCCAGCACCATCTATCCCGCTACAGTTTGGTTCCCCAAAGGCACGTACCTTGTCAGTTCTCCAATAATCCAATACTATAATACGGAGTTCCTGGGAGATGTGAGTACTACCAACTGGCACTCGGACCATACGGACGTTCTCACTAACATGGTACTAGCCGCTAAATGTGCCAACTATACTGGCAGCCCCAAGCTTCGTCGGTTTGGGTGTGATCACTTCCGATGTATATGTCAGTGATGACGAGGAGTGGTATGTCAATCAAAACAACTTCCTGCGAAGTGTGAGGAACTTTAAGATCGACATTCGTCAAACGGATACGTCGGCCTATATTTGTGCCATTCACTGGCAGGTTGCTCAGGGAACCTCTCTAGAGAACATCGAGTTCTACATGGTGTATAATTCGGACGTTCCCAGCAATACACAGCAGGGAATTTATATGGAGAACGGCTCCGGTGGTTTCCTCGCAGACCTCACATTTGTGGGAGGCAACTTTGGGTAAGCAATATACCAGTATCATCTCGATGTCTCTCCCCTCGATTTTTTCTAATGCAATGAATGACAGTGCATACTTTGGCAACCAACAATTTACTTCAAGCCAACTTGTCTTTGTCCAGTGCAATACAGCTCTTCAGGTTCACTGGGACTGGGCATGGACAATGCAGGATTATGTCATCGAGTCGTGTACAAATGGGTTGACTATTGTCGGAGGGGTATGTCTTATTATTCCGAACACCATATCTCAGTTAAACATGAAGCTTACCTGAACTAGGCTGGCGGTTCCCTAGGTACCGGTCAAGGTGTTGGTTCTCTTGTTTTGGCTGATGCCATCATTGCAAACACGCCAAATGGTATCATTACGTCTCTCTACGCCGAGAACTCGACATCCCTGTTTTTGAAAAATGTGGGATTTTTCAATGTCGAAACAGCCATCACAGACGACGTCAAAAATCAAGTTCTCTTAGCAGGTGGAGATGAGGTTCTAAAGGATGCCTGGGGATTCGGTAGAGTCACCGATGCAGAAGGCACGGGATCCTTTGTGTCCGGTGAAGACATCACTATCGGGGCCATGAAGGACAAGCTGCTGGGAACTCAAGCTTACGTCAAGTCCAATCTTTTTACCCGCCGACGGCCTCAATACGAGGATATTAAGGCAAGCGATATTATCAATGTTCGGACTTTCGGCGCAAAGGGTGATGGCAGTACTGATGACACCGTCATACTCAACTCTGTCCTCTCCTACGCAGCCAACCTTTCTTCAGTTGTTTACTTCCCCTTTGGAGTCTACATGATTCATGATACACTGAGGGTTCCCGTCGGTTCACGTATTATCGGACAAGCTTGGTCTCAGATCATGGCAACAGGCGAGAAATTTGAGGATATTGATAATCCCCATGTGGCAGTCCAGGTGGGAGTTGAGGGCGATGTTGGTATAATTGAGGTTCAAGACATGCTTTTCACTGTTTCGGGCCCCACTGCTGGTGCAATTCTCGTGGAATGGAACGTTGCAGAATCCGTCCAAGGATCTGCTGCAATGTGGGACTCTCACATTCGAATTGGCGGAGCCATTGGATCCCAGCTGCAAAAGTCCCAATGTCCTAAACAGTCAGGCAAAGTCAATCCTGATTGTATTGCGGCATCTCTTCTCCTTCATCTGACACCTTCGTCAAACGCCTATCTAGAGAACATTTGGGTTTGGGTCGCAGATCACGATATGGATGCGAGCACCCAAGACCAAATCGATGTCTATGCAGGCCGTGGTATTCTGATTGAGAGTAAGCTCTCATGGCTATATGGTACGGCTTCGGAGCATTGCACACTCTATCAGTACCAACTCTCTGGCGCAAGCAACATCCTTATGGGGATGATTCAAACAGAGTCACCGTACTACCAACCTGTTCCCCTGGCTCCAAATCCATTCACGCCAGGCTCATTCCCTAATGACCCATTGTTCAAGAAGTGTGATTCGAGTTCTGTTGTATGTGCTTTCTCTTGGGCCGTGCGCATCATCGATTCAACTTCTATCTGGGTTTTGGGTAGCGGTCTTTACAGCTGGTATTCGGATTATTCTCAGAAATGTCTTGATACAAACGATTGTCAGCAAAGCGGTTTTGAGATCGAGCAAAGTGTTGATCTTTGGATCTACAACCTCTGTACCAGGGCAATTGTGGAAATGGTCACCCCTTTCCAAGGCATTCCGACATACGCCAAGGACAATGTCAACGGACTCCTTTCATCAATTCTAGTCTGGATTGGTGGTCTAGATACAACTATTGGTCAACGGAAATTCGAGGGCTGGTCTATCTACAGTTCTACCAGCCTGGAGGAGATTGATCTTCCGGATGCTTGTAAAACGTCACTGACAGCAAAGATCAAGTGTGATACTTATCTAGGGAGCATGATGTCCCGCTCTTGGCATGGCTCATTGAACAACGACACCCTAACCGACCTTGTCTGCGACACTAGCTGTGGCGAGAGCTTGAGTGAGTGGTTCACAGTTGTACAAAATAACTGTGGCGGGTATAATATCAGTGGCTCTCCCCCAGAGCTATATGGTGGCCGTATCTGGGCTGGTTACAATGAAACTTGCAGCAAAGATAAAGACACGGATGAATACTGCAATGGTATGTTACAGACTTCTTCTGCCACGATACATTGAACTAACTCCTTGCTCTCCAAGATATCATTGGGGACTTTACTTTGGTTCAAAGCACCAAGGATATGCCCGAGGACGAAGCTTGTTCTTACTGCTACACAACCCGCCTCCAGATAATGCAACAGACGCCGTACTCGATGTACGACGACTATTATCAGGAAGTCCTGGTAGAACTAAATGGACGATGCGGTCTCTCCGGACCAACGGATATCCTTGAAATCCCCTGGGCGACCTTCGAGGAGGAAGACGAATTTTGTGTCTCGGACAATTACTACACGACAGTCAAAGGAGACAACTGCACGTCCATCGCAGCGGCAAACAGCATCTCATCCGCGTCACTATACATGGGCAACCAGAACAAAATTGTGGATTGCTCATCCATGAAAGCAGGACTCAAACTTTGTCTTCCTTTGACATGCGAAGATACATATTCCCTCGAGCCATCAGACAATTGCACAGTAATTGAGTACGCCTTCTCGCTTTCAAACGGGGATCTCCGCAAATATAACCCCTGGATTTCCTTCGACTGTGATAATTTGCAGATTGCCAGCAAGATTTACGGCACAAATATCTGTCTATCGGCACCCGGTGGTGCGCACACCAACGCAACAGCTGGTACGGGGTCAACTACTCCCAGCAAAGCAAACGGGTACACTGAGGTCTACGTTGCCCCGCCGACGAACGCGACTTTGGCCGAGGGAACAACCCGTAATTGTGGAAGATGGCATGAGGCTGCTGCCAATGAGACTTGTGTTGGAATTTGTGCACAGGAAAGTATCACACATGCTCTGTTTGTGGTTGTTAACCCGTCGTTGGATGATTCTCGATGCTCAGAGAGCTTGCAGGTTGGCAAGACTTACTGTGCTGGTCCTTTGTACATGTGGAATGATACAGAGACTTCTACTAGTACTAGTGCCAGAGTATTGGCTTCTCCAACTCCAGCTGTTTAGCTGAGACTCATGTATAACTACATATACTTTTCAAACAATTTCATTCGTTTCTTGGGTCGAGGATACATATTGCACTAGAAGTTGTTGAACTAGATGTACCTATTCCAGTCGTCCTTTCTAGCTTCGTGCTAGCCTATTTTGCTCTGTACAAACAGTCAATCTTTTTATCTGGGTCCATTCTATGTATCATCAAATAAGATACAACCAATCTTGTGAGGTCTCTAGTCATATACCCCTTAAGAGGCTTCCCAAGTACATACGACCATAGGGTGTGGAGAACAGGGCTTCCCGTCCGCTCAGCCGTACTTAAGCCACACGCCGGTGAGTTAGTAGTTGGGTGGGTGACCACCAGCGAATCCTCACTGTTGTATGTTTTTGTTCACCCTTTTTTGTCATTCATTGGGACGGTTGCCCTTGCCGCCCTACTCTTCAG